TCTAGTTTCTTTTTTGTTTTTTTTATTTTGTACTTTCGTTCGTCCTCTTCCTCTCTCCCAGTGTCATGCAATGGGCACAGCCCGATTTGATTACTGTTTCTTCTATAATAAAGTTTAAATCAAATTTTTACAATCTTAGAATTTTGGAATTTTAGCCTCCTAGAATAACAGAATTTTGAATATTGTGCAATTCTAAAACTGTAACAATTCTAATGTTCTGTAATTATAGAATCTAAAGCACGCAATATTGTGGAGGTTGTTTTCATGTATGTTTTATGTGGGTAAAACGGGTGCGTACTGTATACTATTCTTCGGTGGTGGAGAGTCCTCCCTTTCATGCTGGATTCCAGCTTTTAAAATGCAATTCGGTGGAGAGTTACCGCTTAATGAACATGTTGATATCTTCGCTCTCAATCTGCTATCTTTGTTGAGTTAATATACTATCAACTTAAACAATACCAATGTATGCGTAGACTTTAAAATAAAGCATTGTGCAATAAAAGAATTGTGAAAGAAGAACTGGAATGCGACCAAGCTCGGTACTTTCCATATATTCATCTTCGAACTGACACAGCCTGCGAGTACATTTCTGATGTCCATCAAGTACTATTACTTTTGAGCATTGTGGACCACATGGATTATTTAACAGATGTCTGCTCCATCGATCACAAAATGATTCCAATGCATTAGCTAAACTATTCCATAAAAATAAATCGATATCACGTTCCAATGGTATCTGGACATAATGTACACCTCTTTTATACATTGATTCAGTTGCTTTGTAGAACATCCACGTTAATGACGACGGTCAAAATATGTTGTATCATGCACTCCGTTAATAGATAATTCATATGCATATGATTGTTGAAAGGGTTCAAATCCCGAATGTTTAAATAACAAATCGCCATGGAAGCGATTAAATATTCTCTCGAATAGCCGGCTGTTCCAAACACTAATATGATATGTCGAAATGATTCACGATCTGTGTATTCTAGAGCATCATTCTTTAATACATAGTTCGGAAAATACTGATTTTCACAAATAACACAACGCCTTTTCATTAGCAAGTTTCTTGGACCCATCATGTGCATATATGGTGACGTTTTTTCCAAACTCTGGCTGTCCCAATGGCGTGTTACTACAATTATTTCTTGTGGGCAATAAAATATTTGACCAAAACCGTTTAAAACCCGGTTGAGATTCAAAGTATATTTCCGTAGTTTTTTTAATGTTAACACGATTATTAATTATAGAATCTTCATATATGGGTGAAACAAAATTCCACTTTTGCAATGTGTTAGAAATGTCAAATTCTGATTGTTCAAGACCGGTTATCATATTAAAAATTTCTTGGATGTGCTGTTCTCTTTTCGGATCATAGATCGAAATCACTTGATTCAACTGTGGTAGTGTAACAACATGTTCGATTTTTTCAAACAGTGAGACAATATTGGATATAGCAGTCATAGCTAAATGAGACATTTTACTTAGTTTAGTTTAATATCTAATCTTAGCTGAGTTTTTTTAGGAGAAACGTGTAGACTGAGGGATAATTTTACAAGGAATCAAGAAGCAGTGGCGGAGCGACCGTAGGGGGGTACTCCGCTATGAATACTCAAGAATTAGTAGAACGATGGTCCAGAAATAAATCTGGTCGTGGAATGTAGTATGTTGTTTTGTGAAGGATATGAAGGAACAGTGAAAAAATGCTGTTTTCTTCCTGTGTCTGCAAAGTGTGGAGGTAACGGATTATACAACTGTAAATCCGAAATGAAAAAATGTTAAATTTTGTATTATTTCTTTTACTTTATCAAACTTGCCAGAACATCTTTTTGAACTTACTCCGGTTCTTGAAACTCCTCCACCTCTGCTTTAACTTCTTCGCGCCGCCACTGTCAAGAAGGTTTTGGACGAATTATACACTTTTTTCGTCAACAATAACAGAAAAGAAACTAACCTCACTTTAGTGGCAATAAAGGAGATATCGCAACTATTTCCTAGCGTCTTTCTTCTCTAGACTGAAACAACTTCTTTCGGTAACTTTTATGCAACGAAATATAGCGTCAGACATTATGGAAAACTTACTCTTCCCTGCGATACTAACAGAAAATAAAAGAGCGCCGGTAGCCATAGTGAATTTCGTTTCATTGGTGACCAAAACAACACAGCTGCCTGAAAAAAAGGAAAATTAGAAATTTTCTCGTATTGTTGACTGTAGTACCATTTATTTACCACGAAGTACATATCGTGAAACATCACTTTCGTTTGTATTTATACGCTGAATAATCTCTTTACAGTACATATTGTATTTCTCTTTTAAAACAGTAAAGTAATAATATTGTGTGCAATGGCTTCCAAACAACTGCGGACAATATCACTTCGGGAGATAAGAGAATGAATGATAAAAGCACAAAAGGCTTCTATACAAAACGGCGATATATTTGAAACAGAAACAGCAGCAGTTTTAACAAATGTTTGTAACTCAATTAAACTGGCTAAAGAATTTCTTATTACCGTCATATTACCTGCTGCTCATTGCTGTTTTAATGCATCAATAAAATCGTGGTCCAGTTATTTAAATCATTTCATTATCTGGTATCATTTGTGGTTTCCCATATGCCGGTAAATCACAGGCGATGCGATTTGTTCGGTAAGTTCTATTCACAAATAATATATCAATAAGTTTCCATCTTAATATGCTTCCTCCATAACAATAAAACAGGATCTTTTAGCGATGGCGCATTTAGACATCCGCCGAACCCGAGTACTCGACACTGCTCGATTGTTCTTTAAATCTATAATCGAAACCAAAATATAAGACCGTTGGCCATTCTTTGAATAACTGCTGAACGAAAGTAGATGAAGACTCGCAGTTTTCGGTATTAGAAAGCTAAGACTTAAAAGCATGTTTTCGTAACCAGAAAATATTTAGAATTTTTTTCAAAAACCGGTTTTTAAGGAGATCTCTGGAAAACCGTTTCCTAACTGGAAAACTGAGCATAGCATTATACTGATTTTTTTCCATCAATAGATAGGGTCAATTGTTTTCCACAAAACTGAACCTAAGCGAAAGCTTCATCTAGCACGGTTACGCAGAGGACGAGGCTTAACTGGGAGCCCTAGGACTGCTCTTCATTCAGTCAATGAATCTGAGCAGTGCATGGAAACATAAGTTTCAAGCATCTAGTGGCAATGTTTGTTTTTTAAAAGCGATGACAAGTCTAGCGAAAACCAAGCTCTTCAAAAATTAGGCCTGTCCGCCTCTTTTCACCCATTGTTAAAAAATTCACAATTAACTCAGAAACCATCAGAACAAGTCCAAAACTTCAGAACATAGTTAATTCTGTCTGCTAAACATAATGACAAAATCGGATAAATTAATAAGTGATGTTTTTGTCCTACCCTTTTCGGAAAACCATAGGATTTTATAAATTTTTTCTTGTTCATTTCTTATAAACAGAGTATAAAAAAGCCTAGATGCTGTATATGCTGGAGTTTTGGACTCGTTCTGAGTTAATTGTGAATTTTTGAAAGAAGGCGGACAGGCCTAATTTTTGAAGACCTTGGTTTTCGCTAGACTTGTAATCTCTTTTAAAAAACAAACATTGCCACGAGATGGTCGAAACTTATGAAAAAATCGAACATGTTGTTACACTACCACAGTTGAATCAAGTGATTTCAATCTATGATCCGAAAAGAGAACAGTACATCCAAGAAATTTTTAATATGATAACCGGTCTTGAACAATCAGAATTTGACATTTCTAACACATTGCAGCCGAGTGAGAGTGCGCCGTAAAGCAACATTTCCTGTTCAGCTGACCGCTGCGAATAGTTCTGAATAAATGAGGGTGGGGGTGTTCTCAACACATACTATGAATAGTTCTCATAGTTCTGGACACATACTATGAATAGTTCCGGTATCAAAAATGCAATACCGGTACTGGTCATCGATGGAAATGTTATCTGGAAATGTTGCTTTAC